TGTTGGGTGGACTGGCCATCTCCTAACACTGACCCTCCCTTTTTCTTCTCTTACACCATCTTTTCTTACTCTTGGAGTGAGATTGTTCCAGAAAGTAAGGACTTCATGTTAGTGCTGTCCTTGGACTATCAGTGAGTGCCCAGCCAGGATCCTGCTCCTGCCCTGGCACCTGAACTGTTGCTGTTGTTTCAGAGGCACCACTTTAATTTGTTACCTGGATCTGCCCAGATTCCCAGCCAAGCCCTCGTGTTGCTCAGTATCTTCCCACTCACAAAGTCAGTGCTTCCCCATGCCAGCTTAATATGTTGGATGGATTAGGAAAATCCCTATGGATGCTGAGGATCACACCTGCAAATCACCCCAGGCCTGGTACTGGAGCTTGGGATGTGTGTCTGCAGAACCTGGGGCTGCCCAGAGCTCACAGCAATGGATTTTAATTTATTTTATGCTGGCTGTATTCCTTGCCTTGCCTGGGATCAAAATCTGAGTTCCCCTTAGATTTCCTCAGGTGTGGAGGGCTGGAAACCCAGAGGGCTTCTCCAGCAACCCCGGGCACGTGGGATGGTTGCTGAGCTCTGCTCTGATGTTTACAGACCACCAGAGCTCTTCCCATTAACATACAACTGTATAAGACAGCTTGAACTCCATTAGGAGCTAAATTTAGTGACTCACTAACTCCTTTTTGATATGTTTTTATAATTTCATTGTATTATGACACTTGGTTTTAAATTTGCATGAGTAAATGAGCCTCTTACTAAGTCAGGTAAAAAGATTTTTCACTTATCTACCATGAAATAAGACATTAAAAAAATAGTGAGTGGAGAAAGCAACGTATCCTTGACATATTTAGTTTACATTTTTTCCAACTGTGCTGACTGAACATTTCTAACCATTAATGATCCAATAAAGCTGTTTGTACCGCTTTAACAGGCTAAATAATTTCACATTAGGAATACATTTTGTAATTAATTTAGTATTTTGTGGGGGAGTCCTATTTTTGGAAAATACAAATTTACATTTAATTGCGCTCACAATCTGACTCGGAAGATGCAGCGAGTGGAAACTGCCCTTTTATGGTTCACCTCCAAACAGGAAAGTCCATGGAAGCAGTTAACAGTAGTGAACAACTTGAATTGGGATTTCCATGACTGGTTCAATGAATTCCTGCAGGGTTCCTTAAAAATCCCCCCTGGGCAGGGAAGCTCCTGCAGCTGGTGAAAGATGAGACCACACACCTTCACCCCTGGGGTTCCACCAGCTTCTGATTCACTAACATGGATTTATGGGTTGGCTTTTTCAAGTATTTCTGAACTTTCATTCAGGATAACCTTGGCAAGACCTGAACAACTTTGGGATTTGCACTTCAAAAGTGTTTTCCCTCTCATTTCATATTGGAGAGGAGACCACCCAAGGCCCTGCTGCCAGTGGGATGTGTATGGGGAGCATCCCTTTGTTTTGTTCAGGTGATGAGCAGCAAGGAGATGGCACTGGCGATCCTTTGGTCCTGACCTGGGCTCTGGTGATGATCTCACAGGAGGTGAAAGTTCCTCTGTTAATTATCCAGCTTTTTGTCCATCTCTGTGGACACCACCAGCTTTAATTTTTTTGTGTTATGATAGTTTTTCTTCTCTTTTTCCCCATTTCATTAACAGTGACAGATGCTTTTAATTAAAAAGAAATGACAAAACAAAATCCTGAGTAAAACAAAAAGAGAATATTCTAATTTGGCGTGACATTATGAGGCAGGATGGCTCCTGGCATCCAAGGTATGGAAAAGGTCATCTTCCACAGCTCCAGCCTTTTGCAACAGTGGAATTAAGTTCAAACTCAGGCTGGTTTTGAAGTCTTAAGTCTCTCCAGGGATTCCTTTCATAACATCTTCGAACTGGATAACACTACAGTAAATGAAATACACTGCACTGGATTAAAGGGTTATTTCCCCTGTGTATCGAGCTGACACAGAATCCCAACCCTCAGGTTGCCTCCAAGTTGTCTCTATCTGCTGATCCCCTCCCTGCTTTACATAACAGCTCCTGGAGTCTTTGCAGGGAAAGTTTTGCCATTATTTATTCGGCTTCGGCGCTTGCGGAACGATTTTATGCAGCCAGGAGCTGAAATAAAGCAACTAAATGGGAAGGAATTTAATGGGCATCAAAACATGAGGGAAGCAGTGCAGGGAAGAGCCGAGCTGCCTCTCCAGCTCTGTAATTTGTACTGAAACACAGACTGTGGCTGTGCCTGCGTTGCCACTCACACGCTCAGCACAGCGCCCGCAGTAACAACGGGGCTGAGAAACGCTGCTGTGCTCTGGGCTGGCTGCTCCAGCAGCTACAATTTGTTAGGGGTCGTTTGCAATGTGTTTTCTTGTAGAACAAATGTTCCTTTTGACTTTGAACTTGGTGCCTGGTGCAGCTCGTGCAGATTTTGTTGAGGGACGGGCACCCAAACTGCTGCCGTCTGCTGAGCTCCAGGGCACAGGGGAGGTCTCGGAGCACTGGCTCCTCCAGCTCTGTTGTGCCTTCCCATGGCCAGTGCCCTGTGCCAGGCTGGTCCCCTTGGTGCTGGGGAAGGTGGTGTCTGCAAGCTTGGCATAGTAAAGCACAGTGGACATCTATTGAAGCTGCTCTGGAACTGCACAAATGGTCATGGTCCTTTGTTTCTGCCACCAGAACACCGATTAAAGACCTGTCCAAATTCACGAGGAGCCTGTGAAACACGAAATCACCAATAACATTTTGACAAGGAAAAGGGAGAGAACTGTTTCTTCTCCATCCCTGGCTCCTCTCGTTTTATTTTATCCAGGGGCTGGCTGGGTCAGAGAGAAAACAGGAGTTATGTTATGGAGTGTTTATTTTAAGATAAAATGGATTCTCCATATGCTTGATCCATTTGGGCATGGCAGGAACAGGGCCCTGTCCTGTGTGTGTACCTCTGGATCCTGTTCCCTGTTGAATCTCTTCTCCCGCACCACGGTTTTCTCAGGATGTGCTCATGGGTACCTCTGGAATAACCAAGGCTCCTCTCAACCAACCCAGACCCCTCTCCTAAGAGCTGGAGGATCGATGGGGCTGCTGCTCTTCACAAGGATGGGGAGATGCTCCTGATAACTCTGACATGCTTTGTCTCCATGAACTTTTGGGCTCTGTGGAAGGTGCTCAGCAGGATTTGTCCCTGCTGAAGGGTTTCTGATGGCAAGGAGCTGACCCCACAGGTGTCAGGTTCCTCTGTTTCCAAGTGTTACTCACATATAAACACCCAAAAGCATTAAAAAAGTGTGGGAAACGATACTTTGGGGATACTGCTGTCCACGAGTAATTAAAATTAACATTTTTGAACAATCGGGGACCAAAAGCAAGGGCAGGGAATTGCATCTGCTGGAGGTACCCTCATGCTCCCAGAGCCTCCGAGACGGTCGCTGTCTTTCCAGGAGGTCTCAAATCTCCTTGGAAAAGCTGGGACATATTGAAAACATGCTCCAAGCTTTTAGCACTTCCTCCAGATTATTTCTTCAAGTATTTAAAAATATATTTTATAGCACTAAAATAAATGTTAATGAGTCTGCATGGCTTGGGGCTAACAATAGTATTTCTATTTCCATCCAGCAGCCTGGCAGGGCATTTGGCGATGGAAGAGCTGGATGTGGAGACCTGGCTGTTTCTTTCTGACTTGGTCCTTGATGTCTTGAACAGTTTTATTCTCTTGTGCTTTACTTTCCCTGGTTTGCTAAATAGCAATGAAAAAGCTTCCTTGCTTTGTTCAGGCACTTGGGATTTATCAAAGGCCTCTGGGCAAGTGTTAAATGCTGAGCTGGGTATAAAAAGCGTTATTTAGTGTTATGTTTATACCTCTTCCATGTTAGCATGTATTTTTATATACTCCTTGTGGTGACCTTTGTGTTTTTCCAACCAAGCAGACAATCTCCTTGACTCGGGGGGTTGGTTTTTTCCACTGCCTGCCATGGCATCTTCCAAGTAATTTTGTAAATATGCTTTTTTGGGGTGTTTTCAGTGTTTGAGCTGGGACTCATGGTGCTGGAGGTGCCAGTTGCATGCAGAGGATGGGAGAGTTGCCACAAAGAAAATAATAGCATGGAAGTCCATTCCTCTCATTCCTCACCTCCCTTGTTTTTCTCAGCTACAATCAAGGATATTTTAAGGATCCCAGGCTGCCATGTTCGATGGGCGGTGATTTGGGGGGTACCCTGAGCCTGAAGGAGCCTGCAGAGGAGCAGGGTGTGGGGAGAGGTGTGGGAGTGAGTGGGATGGCAGGAATTCAACCCTGGCACCGTGTCAAAGGCAGCGAGCCCTGCTCGGAGCAGCTGCGTTCCCCGGGACTGCAGGAAGCCAAATGGTTTGTTTGTCTGTTTACATGGATGTGTGGGGCTGTGTAGGGGAAAACCACTTAGCAGAAATTCTGCTATTAAAGCAGATGGTGGGAGATTAATCTGGTTTTTAGGGGGGTACTTGCTGCTACGATGACCACGTTATTAATTCCTTCCCGTGCTAGGAGTCCTTCCATCGTTGCAGGGGATGGGGGAATTGTGTTTCCTGAAGCTCCCTCTCGGCTCCTTCCTCGCTTCCTCACGAGCTGATGTGGTATTTTGGGAAGCAGAGGAGCGTTTTGTCAGGGTTGTTGTTGCAGTTTCTCCACCCGTGCTCCTTCCATGCTGTCCTCTGCTCCAGCCCTTTGCAGTGCTCCCGTGGCAGTTCCAGCTGCCTGCTGGCCCTCCTGCAGACCAGCAGAGCCCCTTTGCTGCTGCTCAAAGGCTGCTTGTTAGCCTAGATTTCCTTTTTTCCCTTCCATTTTAGAAATTGCTCTTTTTTCCCCCCTGCCGTATCACTGACAGCCGCATTCTCCTTGACAGTTGTGATATTTGTATGTGTGCATAAAAACAGTAGGAAGCATTTATGTAGGTGTCACTAATTTAATTTAATATAATCTGATCTGTATGTATAGGGGAGGACTGCTCTGTGCTGAAAATGCTTCTCTTTATTTTACAGTCTCCATCGTCATCAAATACAACTCCTGTCATTCTCCTCTTCCATTCACCTACCCAAAGACCAAATCTGGAAATAGTAACCAAAAGAGAAGCCCACGTCACGCACAGAGCAGGGAAAGGTTGAAATAATTGAAGGGTAAGTGATCTTTTTTTCACTCTGATTCTGTGTGTAAAGCTACAATAGGAAGTGCAAGACTGGGTAAAGAAGCTGTTAAGCACACACACAGCTGCTCTGTGTGCAGAGTGGAAAAAATGACTGAAATGCTGCTTTGCTGATCAAAGCAAGGTGAGAAAGTGCCCGGGAGGGGCAGTTTGGAGTGCTGGTGCTGGTTCTGCTGGTTCTGGATCCGTGTCTGCTCCTGCTGGGGGGAGCAGAGGCTGTGCACAGGCTGGCATGGCCGTGGCTGGTCTGGAGGAGCTCCGAGCCGGGATGTCGGAGTCTCCCGCTGCTCAAGAGCTCTTGTGTCATTTCCTTCTCCCTTCCCCACTCCCAGCCCCTCTCGGCTGGGCTGGTGAGCTGTGTGCTCCTGTGGGGCAGGATGTTGTGCCTTGCTGCTGCTGCCTGCTGTCCCTCAGCTCCGGGAGCCTTTCCTGGAGAGGAGCTGGCGGTGCCTGTGCCAGGATTTTCCGAAGGGAAGCGTTGATGGGGGCTGGAGGAGGCACACACTGCCTGGCAGAGCCAGGAGGCCTCTCCCTGGAAATGTTTGCCTCCAGGCTTTCCTTTTGCTGCGAGGGTGGTGGATGAGATAGGAGGAGATAGAAAACCAGCTTTGGTGAAATCCAGAACCCTGGCTGAAGCATTAGTGAGCTCCAAATGGTGGGGAGCTTGCTTTCCCACCCCATCCCCAGCTCTGTGCTTGCATATATTCTATATTGTATTCATTTTCCCACCCCATCCCCAGCTCTGAGCTTACATATATTGTATTTCCACACATGTTCTCGTGTAGATGGACAGGATACGCCTTCGCTTGCATTTGAGAACTTCTCTTTAAACATCTGGGTTTTCTGGTTTATTGCTGTTGTGGGTTTGTTGGGTGGTTTTTTTTTTTTACCCCTGCAATGTTTGTTCATGCAAAATTCATATCTGGGAAGGGCATCTAAAATCCCTGCTTCTGAGTCAAAAAGGGAAAGTATGGAAGTGAAAAGAGAGATTGTATCGTTTAAGAAATATGATTCATGAATTAATCCTCGTCTGCTCCACCATCTGTAGCGTGTGTTTCAACACAGAAATCCTGGGTTATATCTCTTTAAAAAGCTTTCTTCTTGCTGATTGCCTGTGTTTGCTGCAGCTCTAACAGGGAATTTGCTTCTTTTTGGGGAGAGAGTGGTGGGATTTATTCACAGCCTGGGTGGGTGCCCCCACCTGTGTCCGAGCTGTAGGTCAGCTGGACCCAGCAGCTGAGGAGGCTGCAGAGCCTTTTGGGAAGTGCCAGCTCTCTGTGAAATGCCATGAGCCTGGTGTGCAGGCAGAGCTCGTGCATGGCTGTTTTTGTTGTGGAATTGTAGCTGCATCTCTGGAGCAAGAGATGGGCAGTGATGGCAGGAGGTGCAGGAACCTGTCGAGATCCTTCTGAGAAAGAAGTGACTCTTTCTGAAATGGACTGGAGCTCCAGAAAATAAAGCTGAGATAGTTCCCATCTTCTGTTTCCTGGTGATGTTTTTGTGATTTCTTTGTAGATAAAGAGAGAGGGGAGGTTGCCCATCGTGTTCCCAAAAAGAAGGTGCCATGCTTTGTGCTTCCAGGAGAAATGGGGGATGAGGGACACTGGGAGTTTTGGAGGTGACCTTTTTCTGATTTGACTCTGAATTGTTTCCCAGATTTTTGCAGGGAACAACTTTTCTTTTTAAATACATTTCTCAGGTTCCTCTTCTTGAAGCAGTTCAGACCCAGGATGGCTGAGCCCTTCTCATCCTTCCTGGACAGTCCCTGAGCAGAGAAGTTTCAATCCCGCATCCACCATCAGGGCCTTTCCTGGATTTCTCCTTTTCCTGGTTATGGGATGTGCCTCATCCCTTTTCTCCCATGCCTCACGTGCTGGTAAAAGCTGAAGTGTTGTTCCCGTTGTTCTGGAGGGGGATCTGAGCTGCTGGATGGGGTGGATGTTGGGTGGCCTTGCCACAGCTCACGGTGGCCTCAGCCCGTGGCTTGGAGATGCTCCCACGTGGCCACAGCCCCTCCTGTGCCAGTGCCACTGGTGTGAGCACAGCCCTGGCTAGCCCTGCTGGGGCTGGTGGATGGAGGAGATGCAGGAGCTGAGTGCCCCAGTGAAGTACTGTGGGTTCACTGCCTTGCATCCATCCTGCTGTCACGCCTCTCTGCCTCCCTGACTCACTGCCATCCAGCCTCTCCTTGCAGTTCCTCTTTGCTCTGGGAACACCCACTGGACAGGGCTGGAGCAGAGCCCTGGTGCTTCCCGTTGCCTCGGGAGCTTCTTTTCTAATTGAACATTTAAAGCCAGGATGGGAAAGGAAAATGCCTTTTTTCAGGAGCAGCAATAAAGTGTTGAAAGGAAGGAGGATGTGGGGGATGCTCTGTCCTGTGTCCACGTGCTGAGCCCATCGAGGCTCTTCCATGCTCCCTAAGAAATGTCTCCCCATTCCCTCCATTATCACAAATCCCTTCCTGCCCACTCACCAGGGAACCCTTGGATGTGCTTTGTGACACAAAAAGTCAACTCCACAAGCACCCAGAATCCCAACACTACCATAAATAGCTGTGTCTGGAGGGAAAAGGGCATCAGCAGTGGTTCAGCAAATGTTCAACCCAGATTGGAATTAGGCTGAAACACATCCCTGTCCCAGGGCCAGGGCCAGGGAAGGGCTGGAGCTGTGCCAGGGCAGGGTTAGGTTGGATATCAGGGAAAGGTTGTTCCCCCAGAGGGTGCTGGGCACTGCCCAGGCTCCCCAGGAATGGTCCCAAGGCTGCCAGAGCCGCAGGAGGGTTGGGATACCACTCCAAGGGGCAGGATGGGATTGTGCCCTGTGCAGGAGCTGGATTCAATGATCTTGTTAGACCCTTCCAGCTCAGAATATTCCATGCCTCTGTGGCACACCCTGCATGGAAAATGCTGCTGTGAACACAGGTCAGATGTGTTCCTGGCTCTGTCCATCTCACACACAGACACACCTGGGCATTCACAGATTTTGGCAGTAACTTGCTCATTCCTTGTGTGCCTTTACAGTATTTCACCATTTTGTATATTTCTTAATTGCCTCAATCAATCATTTTTGTTTGGTGAGAGTTTCTAAGCTGGCTTGCCATCCTTTACCTGCCCCATGCTGCTCTGGGAAGCTGAGATGGTTTCCTGGGGGCTCTGCTGCAAACCTCCAGCCCTGTCGGGTGTGTGCTGGTCCCTCCTGTGCCAGCTGATGCTGGTAATCACTTCTCCAAAGTCTCCATAAAACAAGGGTTATGGGCTTTGTGACCAGAGAATGTCTGTGTTTACCAGTGTTGGCATTTTGTGAAATACTTTGAGCTCCCACAGAAGCTTTGCAGCTAAAACAACCCCACCAAACCAACAAGAGGTAAAACAAATTCTATCAGAAATGGGAAAAAGAAGCAGTCCAGGCAGATTCCAGTTTTACTTTTTGTTTTAAGCTTTGATTAAAATCAGCAGCTTTTATTTAAAGTAGGGAAAAAAAAGTATTAATGCTCACCTGTATTTCCACCTCAGTGTGGGGTTGTAAATGAGGGGTCTGGTGGATCACCCCAGCTCCTCCTCCCTCTGCAGGGTCCCCTCTGATCACACAGTGTCCCCTGGCAGGGTGACAGTGCTGGTGGCACAGGACATGTGACTTTCCTCCAAGGTTTCTTGTGGACAAAGAAAGGAGAAGCATTGATTCCCCATCAATTCTTTAGGACCCCAGTGAAACAGCTGCTTGTTTCTCCTAAACAATTATGCCAAGATGGAAATTGGCTGGTGTCTGTATGGACTTTCTGGATGGGGAAAATTAAGCAGTAATAGCTGGAAAAATAATATGGGCTATGAGATAATAGATGCCTGAGGGATAAAATTAAGCAGTATTTTACAACGAAGGAAGAGGGTTTGGCAATAAATAGTTTGCCTTTGACTTCCTTTTGTTTGCCAGAGGACTGATGTTTGGAAGAGGTTGTCCTGGGCTGTATTTTCCAAGCAGATGTAGGAAAATAGTGAAGGTATGGAGGATTTTCAGTCCCTCCCAGAAGGCTGGTGCCAGGCTGGGGTGCAGCTCACCCTGCCAGCACTGCCTGTGTGTGGGATGTGACAGGGCTGTGACACTGGAGCTGCTGTGGGAAATCCCACCCTTGCAGGGGGATGTTTAGAAGAGAATAGCAAGGTTTACCAAACAAATGGGGAAAGGATTGGGTTTAAATGCCATGGGGAGCCCAGAAAGCCCAGGGAGGGGTGCTGGCATGTTCAGCACCCCAGCAGGATCCCAGGGGAGGTGATCCCACTCTCCCTGGCTGCTGTGCTGTGAGCAGCCCCTTCCCAGCAACGCCACAACCCTGGGGTTTGGTTTTGTTCTGCCATCCCTCCGTGATGTGCTTTCTGCAACAGCTCCATGAGCTCCTGGCTGAGGAGGTCATTTGGAAATGCTCTTTCCTCCATTTCAGGGGCCTGCTCAGGCTACCACCATGCCCTTCACTCGTGCCCAGGGAATGTGCCAGGGTGGGCTGGGAAAACGCCGTGGTTGCCTCCTGGTGCCAGTGGGAGCATCGTGGGGAGTGCAAGATTCTCTGCTCCAGGGGCACCATCGTGCTGGTTCCTCATCACTTTGCATGAAATAAAAGCACGGTTCAAACAGAGGGGCAGCCCCTAATCCCACCTTCCCAGGGATGGATTCGGGTGCAGCAGGATGAGATAGGAGATCTTTAGCCCAGGCCAGCTGCTGAGAGCTTTTCATTTCACAGATCCCAGGGAAAGCCTCCCTGCCAGGTGGGGGGATTTCCTCAGAGTGGAGGGTCTCAGGAGAGTTCATCCAGAGTCCTGGCTGTCCCCAGGAGCTGAGTGGGACTTGGGAATGCTCAGCACCTCTGCAAACGAGGCCAAACGCTCTAGTGCATCCAGAATGGAATCATTAAGTCGCTGTGCACTGAGGCTCTGGTTTTATTCATGGAGTGTAATGTGATTCATTTGCCCTTTTGCTCTCGTGTTG